ACTACGTAGGCAAGATCCAATCTACAGTAGCAGGTTGCCCTGTGTTTTTATATACTGCAACTAGATTTTCACATGTCTACGCACACTTCTCCATATAATCTCAGGTATCTTCTATAGAAATTTATAAGCCATTTGATGAACTTCCAACYTTCTGTTTATTAGTCTGGTACAAAAATCATCAGTCACACTCTTAAGCTCTTTATAGCTTTGCTTACACAGTTACAGTAATTAGATTTCTTGTTTCTTAAAATTTTGTATCATTAACTTACCCAGCAAGCACCATTATCTAATGACAGCAGATTCCATGTCTCAACACAGAACCAAGCCGCATGTTAAATTCAYGACTTTATTCTGTTTTAGTATATGAAACTTTCATGCAATGAACCATAGGGAAACTCTAAGATGTAGAGCCTCACTCATAGAGGTATCTTATTAGCTAGCAATTCAATGATAGGATGGCTCTTTACACTTCTGAAGCCATTTGTATCTAACTTAAGCATATAATTCTGTGATTCTGTGAAGATCTCTACATTCACAAGACCTTACATAACAGCACTGATAAAAGAGAAAAAGAGAAAAATATGAGCAAGGAAGTTGCTTCCCAAAGCATTAAAAAAAAAAAACTGTCCTATTCTCTTAATTTGCGAGAAAATAAAAAAGTACAAGAGACATTAGTAAAAATGCCTTACCTGCATTTTTGGAAGCAGATAAACATATGTTTTAAAAACTTGGTAATTGTTAGATAGTGAAGGACAAAAATGACTAAAAACGCACTTTTTGCTTCATCTAATTACAATGGAGTCCAGAACCARCACTGTAGATTTTAGCTTACCATATTTCTTAAGCTTTACTGCTAAATGTTTACTCTTTGTTTCAAAATAAAATAATCTTCCTCTGCCCTTCAAGTCACAATGTTAAGCAAGAATCTCGTACCCTCATTAAACCTTGCTGCCTAAATGGCTCCCTCTTTGCTCCTTAGGAAAGGAAAGCTACRTCAAGTTTGAAAATTATCACTTGAGAAGAAAATAATATATTTAAGGGGGGAAAAAATCAAAACATCTATACTGCCATCTTTTGATATGGAGTTTCCCTTGTACACAGCGGACGATATCCTCTTGGTATAAAGCAGAAAAACTCAACGCAATATAAAGTCAGCTGTTTGGATCTATACCCATGCATACCTGCTGCTGATTTGGTCCAAGAGACCTAGCCTATGGTCAAATCCCCAGTTCTTTTTTGCTGCTAAAACTGATAAAAAATGTTAACCTTTARGTACAGCATCTTAAAAAATATCATTGGGCAAAGTGGTTGCAAAACAATAATAAATGCATATATTTTCTAAAAGTCAGTACACTACCTGGTATTAAACAATCAAATTTATATTTGGAGAGAGATAAGATGATGTACATCTATACAGATCAGGTCATTTTAGATATATGAATATCTATTTATCCACATTTAATCATCTAGATCAAATGAATATTGATATAGACTTAATATGAGATTATGATCTGCTTTGATACTTCATGATACTTCATTTCATTTCATTTTATTTATAATCCATAAAAAGTAAAAAAAAAAAACTTAAAATGTAGGATTTTATGTAGGATTTTGAAATCACATTCTGTTTTGCATCTTTAAGTTTTGAATATGAAACATTYGGAAGCACAATTCATATACAAGCTATAAACCAAAGGAAGGGACAGTTTTAAATAATTATGTCAAAGAAATGACAACTGTACTCTTTGCAGGAGCAGGGATGAATAATTACAAAGCTGGGACATAATTAAGCAATTTTGACTGTCGTATTCTTGAGCTGTCATTTTGATGTGAAGTGCTGTCATGCCCAGAAACACACTTCGCACTGGACAGGCATCGCCCACTTTGATCTACACTTATGCCAGTGAAATGAGGTCATGGTTTGGTCACTAAACGAGGCTTCCTCGTCTGGCTCAATGCCTCTTAGCCAGCCAAGCTTACATGATTTTTATTAAAATCAGGCATGATACAATGTTCAATATTTTGACAAAAGAAAATATAAACATCACAGAATAATGAAGTTTCGCTCACTTACATAGAGAGATGGAACAGTGCATTGTAACATTAAACTGTTTTCTAATAAATGACTGCATCTTTCCGTAAGACAGTCATATCACAAACAGATGCATTTTAAACAAAGGATGAAATGAAGCAAAGCACAAGAAAGTGCAGTGTTCTGTTAAAAAAATATGAAAAAATAGAGAAAAATGAAAGTCTAAAAATTTATACAAAATAAAATATTTATGACTCAGTGATGACTGGTGATTGCTATATACTTTTGCATTTGAGTAAACACAAGCTAGTCAGATGGAAATTTCTTGCTTTTATTCTCATTTTGTGTATTTTTTCTTGGTGGGGTATTTTGCTCTTCCAASTATTTTATGTCAAGACTAAAATGAAAACAACTCCCCACATCACAGCTTCTTTAGATCATCAATCTGCTTTTTATGCTGAATAAGCCATACCATCTCCTGCTTACCATAATGAAGGAAAAAAAAAATCCAACAACAACAACTTAGATTTAGATTTTTTTCCCCTGAAAAAGTAAGCCCAATAGTTCACTGTAGATTTTACACCTGACAGAACAATATTTCCATTTTGACATCCACAAATATGACTCTTAAGCACAGCAACTCTGTTCTTGGCAAGCATATTCTTACATAGTGGGCACTATACCACAGCAGGAAGCAGAAGAGTATTCCTAGGARGTTCATAATCAATGGGCTCTCGTGTCACTCGGTCAAACTCTTAACAAGTCTGATGTCTAATTCTGATGTCTAATTCAAGGTGCACTGCAATCTTCCTCATATTTGCAGCTCAGGTGTATCTTCTATTAGCTACTTCTAGAAAGCTTAGAAAATATTAATATACTTRATAACATTATCTTCCCATTGCGCATTATATTTGGCTGGTCAAAAACCTTAATAATTCTTGGGAAGGGGAACTGATGCACAAACAGAGAGCAAAGAATACATTTCCTAAGGAACCCAAAGGCTGAAGAATAAAAAGTTATATATTCAGGGTATAATATACAATGGAATTTGAAACCAGAGTCACTGTGCACATCATCCATGCGATATATAAAGGAATGCTGCTTGATATGGTCTTTGACTATAGCTATACATAGAAATACATATATGCATCTCTAGACATCCATGCAGAGTGCTCACACTGTGAGTGTTGTCACATATAAAGAGTTTGTGTGCATATAGACTGTGAGGATGAATATCGTAGAGAATGAGCACAAATTCAAAAGAATCTAAAGAGGTTTATAATATCTGTTCTGAACCCATTTTAATATTTATTTTAAATTAGCCATTTCTGTAATATGTATAYAATATTTTATGATGATTGTAATTTTGTAGCACCTTAAAAGGCCTTAATTCATGTCGTGTAAAAGCATTTACAATGATTTTGCTATGCTAGGTACTATCAACAATTTGTASCAAACCATTTATAAAGAAAAAAAAACCTTCAGATTGGCAATAACAGCAGCAAATTTGAGCCTTTTGCAAATTTGCTGAAATAAATGTATGTTTTATCATAAGACTTACCAGGTAAATAAYTCAAAACTACACAAAAGATTAAATTACAGATATAAACGACAATGCTATCCCTACCTCTGTGAAGCAATTTACCCTTAACTACTGACTTAAAACGAGGTTCCATCCAGCACAGTAGATTCAAGTTCACAAAASAGTCACCTTTTTTTTCTCTTATACTATTAAGCTGGTCATAAATAAAAATTCATTTGTCAATAAAATTAAAATAATACTCCAGTAGATCTAAGATATGGATAAAAAAAGTTATAAAAGCAGACCATATACATGCACCATATCTAACAATTTTTAACTGTGCAATTTCACTAGGCTGAGTAAGGTTTAGAAGGTTTGTTGTGAGGCCAACAACTTCAAATGCCTAGAAATAAATGATTTTGTTTATTATATATATATAAAAGCTGAAACAGCTAAAGGCAGTGGTAAACATATATTAAACCTATGCTTACATCAGAACCACTAACATTTTAATAGTTATAAATGAATCAGTCTGAATTCATTTGCTATGCACTGCAATTGTACTTGTGATAATGCATTTATCTGGCAACACCGTTACGCTACCAAACAGTGCATTTCCATACATTATTATTCAGCATTATCAGAAATCTGCACTAAATTATTGATGGTATATTTTAGAGAACAAAACAGCAAACAGAAAGCAAGTAGTAGACTGAAAACTTCTGTTTTAAGAGATCTCTATCTGCAGCATTGAAACACCTTGTGAAGCTCAGTGCTGTTATCTTGTACTGATCACCAATGGAAAAAGGAGGTAAACTGGAGAAATCCCATTCTCATTCTGTTTGCATTAGCAGTATGCAGTACAACCCGAAATTGATGCAAGTGGTACCTAAAGCTAAGATTACAGAAACTGTCTCTAATGTTGTCAATGCTTATTAGCTTATGACACCATATTAAATAACATCATGCAAAATTACAATCAGCCAGTCCACTAAAAGGCAATGAATACCACAGGTGTGAGTTCTGTGATACACATTTATTTATAACATGCATGAGAAGACAATGTGTCATAAAAATTGCGTTCTTCCAGAACTGCATGTTATATATCTTTAGTTAGTTTACATATATCTGCATGTTATATATCTTTAGACGGGACAAAAATATTCTTTTGAGTTCAGTGACTCCTACTAGTTACTTAATTAGACAGTAGAGAGAAATCAAAAATTTGGTAACACAACCACAGTCCAGATGTAACAATGAAGTGTGATACCAAATGGTACAAAACTTAACAAGGATATTGTCCCTCAGCCAAGTATAGTTATCAGTCTCACAGTCTGAAAAATCTTTGTCTATTGAGTCAGCAAAAGATGCAGTCAAGCTGTCACAATTAATTAAAAATAGTAATAATTAATCACATATTGCTACCATTTCCATTCAGCCTCTTACCTTAGCATCCTTGGGTTTGACCACTTTCATGAAGGCACCTCTTACCAAGGCTTCCTCTCTCTCTTTCTTGGTTACTTTCCGAGTATCAAGAAATTTCAGATTTCTCAATTTGTGCAGGACAAAGTATCTGAAAAATGGCAAAACACACGAAATTAAAATTCAGTAATAAACAAAGATATAATCATATGTCAAATGACTAAAAACTACCCACAATAAAAGTGGCCTTTGATTGCTGTATTTGTTCACCCTATCTATGCAATCTAGCTTACAAATTAAAAAATTACTATACTTACTTCACTGTCTCAAATGAAACTACTCAAAGTTCCCCCATTTCAACGGATCAAACGGATCAAGAAAAGGTCACTATAGATACGTATGTCATATATAGACATTACTAGGATATACAGTATACCTAGAAATAAAGTAAAACGGAAAATGTTTTCTAAGAATACTTTGAGAAGACGAGTTGAAGTTTCCAGTGTCTCAGAGTTGTTTTCACCTGAAACATGTGTCTTAGAATTATTCAGAGATTCCTTTATCCAAACCAGCAATTCATCATGTTAACTTGCAAACACACATTCAAGATTTTATTAAATTTTCTTAAAAATGCAATGATCAGCAATATTAAAGGTGCTATATGAATCAAGGAGTGCAATTTGTTTTGCATCATACATACTATACTCTCCTTTTACTTGAAAGGACTGTATGGCAGCATTCAAAACTGTTGCCATTCAAAACAAGACTTCCTCAAGAGACTAAGGCACTGGAAGCTATTCCTAGGCTTTCAAGAACTACCTTCTGGCATAGATGCCATTTGGACGAGGAATTCCAATTTGGTCCTACTCGAGCAACAAGGCTTCCTTAAAGCATATGGACCTCAGTACAGGTCAGAATGAAAAAGTATGCAGGTAGAGACCACCTTTTCTCAAATATTCGAAATTCTCATTAGGATTCATCAATGTAATATAGTATGCTATTGTATTTTTGCAAAAACTCGGCAGTTTTTCGTCTTTTTTTTTTTTTAACCTCAAAGAATATCATTGGCTCCTTGCATACAGAGGGAGAGAACATGGCAGAGCAGAAAGAAAATAAAGCATGCAACCATGGCAAATCAAAATATCCAGCCATCTCAAGTACATGTTATTTACGTTCAGTCAACCAAATGTGAAGCAGACATTACAGAGTGAGGCAGTGCCAGACTCGTCGCAGCAGGGGGTAGGAAGGTGATTGATAATATTTCCCATGSCTAGCTGCTTCTCATAAACCTCTAGTCAGTCACAGAAACACTCCTACCCATATCAATCCTTTCTGACACTGGGAAGAATAAATCAAAATAGTGGAAAACTCTGCATAACATACCTTAGGATATTTCAAAATGGAGCACGCTAAGAAAACTATGGTTTAAAAAGAACTAACTTTTATGCARTTCTCAAGACCAGATGGTCATTTGATAAATGGTTTCAAGTCTTCCTCTCTACAACCAAGCAAAATGTAATGTTGCACAGAAACTTTGCAGAGCAGCACACCTCACCTCTGAGGCWGTGGGTAACACATCCTGAAGCTGAGGATAATTTAATGTGAATCCTCAAACTATCAGTGATACAATAATAATAATAATAAATAATAATGAGTCACTTTACACAGGAAAGTCTATCCTAAGACCCTTTGTTCAGGAACAGCTCCAGATCCATGAGACTGCCACCTTCCACCTGGCTTCCTTGGCTGCCCTTGCAGAGTGCTCTGCCACTCTGCTGGCCCTAGTCTTTCAGGAGGAGAAAATATATCCATCTTGTATCCTACGAGCAAAAAATCTCCAATGACAACAGATTCTTTCAAATGAAGACGTGTACAGAAGGAAACAATATGTCAAGAGTGAAGAAGAGTGAAGCTCAAAATGAGTAAAAACACCCACTAAGTGTAGGGTGAGAAAAGATGAATATTCAGGTGAAGAAAACATCGGTATTAGAAAATCAGCAAATGTTTAATGATGGAATGAAATATGCCATCGGAAAGCAGGCTGCAACAGAAGTGACAACAGACTAAGACAGCACTGTCGTCTTTGCTGACTTTGGATCACAGCCCTCATGTCAGTCTCTCAATCATTTCAAAAGAGCTTAAAATGATAACAGTGTTTCTAGATACAAAAATACATTTGTATTTTAAGCCACCCCGACTGCACTTCACATTAAACAAAATTAGCACAAGTAGCCGCTAAATCCAAAAAWAAWAACATAAATCCCTAGCCAYGTAAACTGAAGAGTAAACAACATCACAAGCCAGAGATCTGGGGGGGTTATTTTTTTGTTCTGTTTTTAACTCATGTTTCTCAGAAGGAGACATACTGAAATGTAAATGTTCTTAAAGTTACCCCTGTCCTAGAACAAGTTATTTCAACAACTGGGGCCAAAAGAGACTCCTTTTGCTCACTAAAGGAGAAAATTAATTTCCATTGCGTGAATAGTACACATTTTATTTTCCCTGATATCCAAAGACAAGCTTCAGACTTCCTGGATATATTTTAACTAGAAATATGAAGATGCAGCTCCAATCTAAGCGTAACACCACTTTGCCATAAAAAATACAGGAAAGGATTACCACAGCCCTGGAATGAACACTTTACAATATCAATTCAACCCTTGTAAATTTAATCCGGGGTTATTTGTTGCACAAAATCTCTTTACTGTGATGTATGACTTAGTTACTAAGGTTATCACAGCAGTATCCTAAAGTTGCATAGTACATAAAACATCTCAGTTAACAATGCGGGGAGGTTAACTCCCCCAGATAACCTGCTATCAGAGGGTTAGGCCAGATGACATGCCTCTGTCAGCTTTCAGGAGCTATTGATGGTTCAATCAGTTTGTTTTGAAGGTAAAGTACAACAAAAGGGCACTAAACTTATTCAAACTGTCAACAGGGACTATCTCGAATGTTGCTTGCAGGTAAGTAATTTTGGGTGTTTTAAGACTATTATCAAACACCGATGGCTGCAGAAACCGACAGCTACTAATAACGGGGAATGCAGCCATCATAAAATACTTTATGGCAGGCACTAGGATCTATAAACTGCATGACACATTGCACCTGTTTTGGACTTACAAATTCACTGGTTAAGCAAATGCTGTTTAATGAGACAATCTAAATTTTATATTCAAGGTTTAGAATGGTTTATTTTTGTTTAGAGCTCCCTCCCACTCTCTTTATTTATTTTTTTTAATCATTCTGAAACTTAGCACTGCTCCAGGTGCTGTGAGACTGCTGTTATAGGGCTGTTAAATCCTGCAGTGGTGTGAAAGAAGACTATTATCTGTAGTGATGAGGGAAAAGATGAGCTCTGGCAAGAGGAAAAAAGCAGGAACACGGAGAAGGTGCTTAGAAACCCATTTATCACTGCCTATAAACTGATCTTCTAATCCATGATGGGCTAAGGAAATGAAGTATGTAAAAAAAAAAAAAAAAGAAGAACCCTTGCATCTACTTTTGTCATCTTTTGTCTCCTCCTCCTGCCACCCTGTGCCAAGTGTCCTGTGGAAATACGCTTAAAATAGTAGGATATCCATCACAAACAAACAGAAATGTGAATCATCTGCAGAAACATGCAGAGATGGAAAAAGACCAGTGAATATCACTTTTCATGTTATTTCAGCCTTGGGTAAGTGAAAATGACAATAAAGATTAACAATTCATTTACCAATTTTGTAAGTGTTGCATATGATTAGCATTGTTTTAATGATTTTTACACAGACCTGTCAAGATATTGGGAAAGGGGGAGAGGCTGGGCAAAAGTGTGCAGAGGAAGGCAGTGAACAAGTAGGGATTTGGCTGCTATGGACATAGGCAAGTCATCCTTTGAAGAAACAAGCTGGAATTCAGAAAGGGACACAATAAATGCAGCTGCTCAATATCGAACAACACACAATTCCAGCTTTTATAATGTAATTCCAGCTTCTGACTTGCTCTACAGACTTAAATGAGTCTCAGACTTCTAGCCTTAACTCGGCCTTACAAATCAGGAGCCTAAGACTTCTCAGTTGCAGCAGGTATACCCCGTGGATGTTTGTAGTTCTGCAGTGTAACAGCCATTACTTTAAACATAGTGCTTAGGTTTTCCCTCAACAAGAAAAAAAAAAAAAAAAAAAAATCCATCAGTGATGATTCACACTGCCTTAGGAGGGAGTCTCAGATGCCAAGCAAAAGAACTCAATCTTAATGGCTAAGAGTTCCTTAAAGGATCGCTTGTCAGGAAGGAAGAAAATCCATTTTAAACATATACAAGAAATTCATCAGTCCTGATGCAGAGCCTACAGGAGAAGATGACTTCTATGCCAACCACTTGCTTTTGCTAAAAAGCTTCTATATTTTAGTAGACATTTCGGTATATAAATCCCTGCTAAGTTTTAATCGGTTTCTGTAGACTGCTCATTACTATTAACTAACATTTCCAGGAAATATCTGTTCTCGAGCTGCAAAGACCATAACAAGAAAAATGGCACAATGTCATAGTATCTACAGGCCTTAGATTCATTTATTACCTCCCTTGGAAAAGCAGACAAGTTTCAGAATATGGTTGGCCTCATGATACAGAGAGATAATAGCATCACCCTTGAGCCACACAATAAGAAAACCTTAAAAGTGGCAATAAATTACTTTGGGAAGAGTGTTTTATTTTCTCCTGCTACAATGGGAAAAGTACAGCAAATCTGGATACGTTAGAGTTTCGGGGAAAATAAACTCTTCCACTAAACCTGTAGTGAAAGAGCTGGATTGTGTGGAGTCCTTTATTTTGTCCTCCTATTTTTATTGTCAAAAATTGCAATATAAAACTGTAAAATATCCTCTAATATTTAAGCTTAAATACAAAATCAATTAGGATCTGAAAAATGGAGAAATGTGTACCCAGAAGAACGCAGAAATATCTAAATGTTCCCTCTTGTGAGTGCAGCATGCTTTTGGTTTCAGAAAGCATACACACCTTAATTTTCCTTCTACAACATTTCAATGCATCTACTGCTCCACTTCCTCCTCAGACCCAGAATATAAAATAACATACCTACTACAAACTTGGAAGGTCTGATTATACTCCCCATCTGCATTACTGAAAACTAGTAGTAATAACCTGAAGTTGGCAAAGTTACACCAGCACAGAAAAGGCAGCGGTGACAGCACAGGCCAGAAGGAATGAGCAAACAACTTTATGACACTGAGACGGATTATCTGCTACAGCTGCTGCTTCTGCACCACAAGAGCAAGTTTAAACATCTCCCCTCCTTCCCTGGCCCAAGTGAAAAGCAGAGAACAGAGAACATAATTTCCATCCACCCACAAGCGACCACCCTAAATACAGGGATAAGGAGGCCAGGACTGCAGTTATATTTTGATTCGCTGTATAGGTTGGGACAAATCRGGGTATTCCGGCCTTCAATTTATCTAGCTGAAAAGATATTATAGTAGTGCGCACCCATAAATCTTTACAAGCGGCTAATCTCAGGTGGAAGTCACAGGGCTATATGATGCTTATCAAATGGCTTTGTGCTTCCAGATACTTTAGAAATGAAAAGGCCTCATGTAAACAGCAAGATTATAGATTGTACAGTTACCAGGGAATACCCGACCACCTTATGTGGTGCAGGAAACATATCACAAAAGTACCATAAACTCCAATCCCTCCTACTAATTTCAGTGATTTCAACTGAATCATGTTAATATGATTTTATTTTGGTTAATTAACAGGGTCTTATAGTCTTCTACCGCTTTTTGAGTAAGCATTTATGCATTTATTTTACCATCTATATTCAATACCAGGACTACTTAAAATAGAGYAAGTTTTCTATCAGCTTAAAAGAAAAAAAAAAAAGAAAGAAAAGAAACACACCTAATGAAGCTGAAAAGACCCCACTGAAACTGAAAATGCTATACGAGGCCCCAGGCCAGCACAGAATTAGATCTCTGGGATGCGAATAGCTTATTTTGCTTGAAAAGTTATTCTATAGGAAATGCCTGCACTTCTTTTCTTACTGTCATATCCTAAGAGGACCTCACAAGGTTATCACCGCTCGCTCCCCCTGCCAAAGATAGCATATCTAGCATGTGTACTTTTAAGCTAATTTAAAATAAACTCTGGCATTTTTTTCCACTTGCCCTCGTTTCCATGTCAACAGCACTTGATGAATGCACCATTCCAGGAAATGTCAATACGGAGCAGGGAAGAAGGCRCAGGCCCGGAGAGCTTCCCCGTGGCCCTGGTCCCGCACAGCCAGATCCCTGCCAGGAGGACAGGTGAGGTCACCTGCGGCACTAGCAAACGCTCTCCAGCACCCCGTGCCCCAGGGGGGGTTTGCACAGCTCCGCAGGGGCACGTTTGAAGTTGTCTCTGCACACAATACAYGGAGCAAACGCGGGGACAAGGGAAGCAACCGGCAATTCCCGGGCTGGCTCCTGCTACTTTGATCTCCAGGTCGCGACCTTTTTGCTTTCCCCACCGCAATCTTCAAAGCGGAGATTGGAGATTCAGTTATTTTAAAACTTGCACGGTTTTGCGAGCTGTTTTGTGGTGTGTTCGCCACTTCCTGCTCAAGCCAATGTGCTTTTAAACCTGCTCTAGCATCATCATCATCATCATGTTTTGGATCTGCTGCTCTGAATTCCAAGGAAAGGAGCAGTCCCTGGAACTTTCCCTCCAACCCTCAGCCCCAAACCCTCTCCCAATACCCTCTTCCCAAAGGTTCTTTAACATTAAACTCAGAAAAAGGTAAAGTAAAACATAGGAACTCTCAGCACAGTATTTTTCACAGAAAGACACAACATAACAATGAAAAAGAACATAGTTTCTAAAACAACCAAATTGATTATAAAAATGTCACAGAACAGAACTTTTCATTTTTTCCTGTCCATGCAAAAACATCAAAAATAAACACAGAAATGTTTCCAAAAATCAACTCTCCTACACTGGCCTCATGAAACTGGGAATTGAAAGGCAAGGAAGAATGGCAGATGGAAAAAAAAAGATCCTCTTTGATTTTTTTCAATATAACAAAATAACTCATTTGAGTGTAGCTATTTTTTTTAATGAAAACATAACTACTTTGAGAAAAAAACTCAACAATGTTTTTGGATCTAATACTTTTCTAATGAAAACCTGCTGAAAAGCATTAGCATTAAATTTCTAGCAGAAAAGGTCTGGCAATGATCCGGATGATTGAGATCATAACACCTTGACACAACCATAATCTTGCTCATTATCCATGTAGTTATGGTAAAAGTCTAATTATTTTTCAAAGATTTAATATTCCATTTTATCTCTGTTATTAGTAACGCAGTAGATCACTAAAGCCAAAGCTTCTAAAAATTTGATTTTCCACAACTTTTTGAATTCAAGATTTTGGGCTTTATGCATCTTTTCAGCTTTTTGGAATGAGAAGATTAAGTAGAGCTTTGATTTCTAGCACGTTCTCTCTCTCTCTCTCTTTTTTTTTTTTTTTTTTTTTTTTTTTTTTTTTTTTTTGGTTGAGGAATTAAATGGCCTGAACTCTAATTGAACTCAATTGAAATGAAATTAAAGCTCAAAGGAAAATGAAGCTGTGGTTTCAATGCTCACTGAAAAAATTTACAAATGAAGTTCCTGTTTTTAGAACAAAACAAAACTAAATGAAGTTCTTTTGGTACAGCAAAATATTTAAATTYGTCAGGTTCACTAAAATGCACTGACTTTTTTCATGTGGCAATATTTTTTTTTAAATAAGTCTTAAAAAGTTATTTCAACCCCTGAAATATTAAGAAAATGCTGAAACTGGATATTTCAAATGTTTGCTTCTAAGATTTGAAGTAACCCATTTGATAAAATATAAATTCTTTCACATAGGAGGAGCTTACTGCTGCCAAACTAGAAAAAATTATACACCCAAAATATTCCCAAACATGCTATTCTAAATAGCTAAACACTATAAATATTATAAAYACTGTCCTTTAAGTCCCACCTTTATTCATACACGTAAATATCTCCAGCTAAAGATAAGTCCATATATCATTGAGTTTTGAGTATAATGCTCAGCAAACAAGTCTTATAAAATACAACAAATAATTGTGGAAAATGAAAAGGAAGCTCTCATTATAGCAACAAAATCATAAATCATTCAACTAATCAGAAGTCCGTTCTTCGTTCTAAGAAGAGCTTTCATTAACCCAGTTTTATAGGGAAAAAAAACCCAAGTTTTTAAAAAGCTGGGGGAAAAAATGGAAAAAAATGTTAGTTTCCAGCAGATGCATAAATACAATCACTTTGCACTTTTGACACAGTGGTTTGCCACAGTGTGACCTAAAACTACCTTGACCTCCCTGAAATCAACATTTTGCATTGAAATGAAGTAACAGACATGCTTGTTTTGATGTATGGCTGTGTGACATATTATAAATATTACATCACGTAACCACAGAGGATGTCAATCAATAATTTTTTTTTTTTCAGACAGCACTAAATGAACCATGGGTCCTTGCCTCTGAATGCTTCCTTTAAGGTACTACTTTTGCTTAAATGATTAATAAGAGACATATTGTCAGAAAATATACTTAAAGTGAAAAACAGTAAACTGCAGAAATATCAGTCATTTTTTAAGCAATTCTCCAGTACAAATGCCACATAAATTTACATAGAGACAATACTCTTGCAYTCCTATAAGCTGGCAGGTAAGCATACCTTCCTCTTAAGGGTGAAAACAATGAGAAAGTATTTTATTAAATCTAGGCAATCTGAGTAAATAGCAAAATGCTACAAAAAACGCTGAATGCAAAAGTTGGATTGTTAGAAGGTTAAAGTAGCGAGGCTAATGACAATCTAGCATTCCTTCTCACACACCCAGGCTAGTGAACACAGAATATTCACATTCAAGGCAGCGGCATTGCTGCCAACTCTGTGAGCACAATTTCAACCCACGGCATTTAGCACAACTCAACTGCAGTGCCCAGTTCATGCTACTTTCCAATAAACCTGCCTGCAGGCTCCTCTACTTTCTCCTGTGTCTTAAGCCAACTCCTACAAAGGCGTTTGGATTATTCGAAGATGTAATCAGAGTTTTATAACGTAACTCTGAATTTCACGGATGACCTGCTAATAAAAAGGAAGTTCTGTCTCTGCAAGGTTGGCAGCAAACTGGCCAGTGCTGCTTGGCTCTTACTCGCCTCACATAGAGCTATTTTCAGCCAAGGTGGAAAATGCCAGTGAATGAGGACAGAACCCTTGCATCAAATGTGACTGAGAAGAAGGAGCTGTGATGACACTGCATAGAATTTTGCTTTAATTAATGTCTCACTTGCCTGAACGTTGCAGCTACAAAAGTGACCTCAGCAAACATTCCATACGTCTTGGATCTATACTCTGTGATCATCAGCCAAAGCTATTTTTATCCCCCCACTTCTCCTTCTTCCTCACCCTGCCAAAAAACACTCTCCTGTGCATGCAACTAAGTTTCATCAGCATTTCAATTGAGCAGGCAATATTTTATCAGACTTACATATTAATTTCCTCTTGTCTTATTTCATTCATTAAAATCACATTGTAGAAGTATACATCGATGATGATATGATATGTAAATATATATTACGTATATTACTTGTTTTAGTTCAAAACACGAATTGCATTGAGTAAAAAAGCACATTATATTAAGATGTGCTTTCTTCTGTGCTCCTTAATAGTATCTTGACAATTTTAGTAAAAGAAATACATTGCGATAACTAATTGTTAGCAAAAGACAACRCAATTGGTTATCCAAATGTAATAATTTTTTATTGACTGTCAACCTTCTTGTAAGTAAGTGTTACCTTACCCTGGCCTTAAAGAAGGAAAGGTCACAGATGCACACGTATGAGCAAGCATATTCAGGAAAGCACAAGCACACACCTGCTGAACTCAAATCCACATTGTTTATTACTGAAATAATTCTTGAAATAGGGTTCCCAAGAGTGAGCTGAGTGAAATGTGGTTATTCAAATTCCTAGGTGTTCATGGGGCACAGTGATTTCAGCACAGGAGTAAAAAATGTTTTGGGACTGAGCTTGGTTTACTTGAGCATTTTTTCAATATTAAAAATTACTTGCCTTCTTATATTTACAAGACACTAACCTGTACCTCTGGTAGTCATCTTCATCCTTGTCTCTGCTGACCAATTCATTCGGGCAGGCCACGTTTCCAAGCAAGCTGAGATACTGCAGCGAAGGCACAACTTCAGCCAAATGATCCAAAAGGCTCTCTAATTCTGTTATGTGTCAAAGGTTGTGGGTTAAGGATTCAATGACATTAATGAAAAAAGCATTTAGAGTTGCATCACTGCTGATTTAAACATACATTTCAATAACTGACAATCACATTTAGTATGGCACTCAGGAAAATGTCACATTAATTGTTCCAAGGGCAAACAGGGATAAACTTCAGTCAGTTTTTTGGCATGGAATGAAAGAATTTAGCTGTTTTGTCATTCTTTTCTCCTCCTTTCTTTCCTAGGTGGTTCACTACAAAACATTAAAACTTTGACAAAATGATGGATGCTGTGTGGTAAAATGGCTAGCAATTGCTGGAGCCATGAAACTTTTCCAGCATGGAAACAAACAGTTAGTTTCACAGCACATTCATCACTAATATATTCAGCCCACTGGAAAATGAGTTAAAAAAAAAAAAAAAAAAAAGTCAAACCACAACAACCCACTTTCTCTCCTGGAATATAAATGCTCTGAGTGCCGTAGCAACAACACTCTCATAATTACTCAATTAATATTTGAGAACAAATGCACCTTAAAGTCTTCAGTGTTGCAGCATATTTTTATACATGAGGCTTTAAAGTTCTGTAAAGCATAAAAGTTTTCATTAAAACAATCTTATACTTAAGGTTACATTCCTCAGGAAAAAAAAATGTATTAAAACAAAAATCGAAAYACCTTTTAACCACCGCAAGACTGTAAATCACAGCTTAGGTTTAGACATAACAACTATACTCAAGCTTTAGCACTCTGCTGATTGAACAAAGCAAATTACTTTGTTAAATAAAAGTATTACAGTCACTCTGAGAGGCTCTTTCTGTATATCCTCATTTATCTTAATTTACACACAAAGAAAAAGCAGTGGTTCTCAGGGAAGATGCTATGCATATGTGTGTGCATATAGCCTTTAATGTTTAAAAATTGACTGGTTTAGACAATAGTGATAATTATTCAAAACCATTAAAGGCATTTTGGTGCTCTGTTCTCATCTACTGCTGATGTTATGGACTAAAACTATTGTTTTAAATCCTCAGTTCACTTGTATTACTATTATTTATACTTGATTTATGTGTTTCTGTTATCTTTGTTATTTTTAGCTGATGGAATTTACTTTATTTCTTCACCTCAATATCTTAAGGGCAACAGAAGCAATACAAAATGAAAAGAGCAGCTTCACAGTTAAAAACGTGGTCATCTTTATAAGCTTGAAATTTTATTTTCTTTCCAAACATCTAAGAAGCTCATGTGGACAATTACTGATCTTAATTTATTAAGTCTATCTGTACTCATAGCTAATGCTCTGTCTCAAAATCTGACATATCCTACTCCAATATTTTGTACAAATGAGCAGAATGGTTTGCAATTTTTAAGACAGAAAGGGCAGTTTTTCATYTGGCAAGGCCACACTATGCAGTGCTATGGCAGCTAGAAAGCTAGATTTCATACCCCTTACAAAGCAGCAGAAAAGCTTCCTCAGATCTTAGGAAGCAATCAACTAGACCTTAAGAACAAAAATGCCTTGTCTTAGCATTGTATTATAGAATGCATCTTTGCTAACCAGGATAGAGATCCAATTGTMATTTTGTGATAATTCTCCGTTTCTCACATTTGGGCCTCTAGCTCACACATAAGCTTTTCAAGTGAACTATTTCCATGGTTCTTTCAGGAAGTACGTGACTGTGATGGGACRGCCACAAACTACTTTTCCACACATGTTCAAGTTAGAGGGTTTTTAAAAATTTCCAAAGACTTTTGGAAAAGTGTTTGAATCTGGCACCATCCCTCAGCCAGGAGAAACACTTAATTTCTTGCAGGACTGCTTAAGTTGCGAAAAGGTTCCCTGAAAGAAACAATTTATTATTACAAAAGGCAGTTATTTCCATAATGGCAATTGCACACAGGGGGTTAGCTATTGCAAGGCTTAGATCTTATCTGGCCTTTTCTTATTAAAGAAAAAAATGTCTTTGCTTCTTCTATGGAGTAAACAGACAAGCATTTCGTTTGTCAGGTCAGCAGAGCCTTTTCTGGGGCTGAACTTTTTCTCCCTAACAACTTACTGAATGTTGAGTATGACAAACGGATCCTTATTTCCATTTGGCCATGAAGGCTTGGGGGGAATATATCAAAAGTTATTTAGATAGGCTATGATAAAGAGTAGCACCAACTGAGATTTACAAAACAATGTAAGCCTATGCATCAAAGTCCTATGGAAGGCACAAGGGGAAGCAGCCCCAAACACATTAAGGCTCTTCAGTAAATAATAGTAATCTGCATCTCAAACATCTAAATTTCTCTAAATTTGGAAACTAGCSTTTATATTCTAACACCTCACATCTAAATATTGAACATCAATTTTAGATACAAAATCAAAATACTCCCACAAAAATTCTCCCAGGCAACGATGTCCAGGAATCATACAGACTTGTCACACCGCAATTTTATGCAAGACTCACCAGATCTCCTCTTTCTTATCATTTACACATTTCACCTTACCAAAATAGGTGCTTAGTAGCCTGCTACTCTTTCAGGCTGAGCTGTAGCAGAAGCACACTTGTGTATATATACACAGCTGGACGAAACCCAAAAATCAGATACCATCACCCAAAATGTAACCTGTAAGCAACTTACAGTAAAGTTGAAGCTTTCCAGACTTGCAGCCCCAAAGGCACCGGACACCAGCAATACTTGATAACAAACTAACCGGTGGCTCCTGACGGTCAAATTTTTCTACTAGATCCCTGTATATCATAACCAAAATAACCACACACAAGTATATATTATTTTTTCAGAGGAGCACCATACACCTGCTATCATCCTGTTATCCATTACAAAATATATATGAAGAAATTAATGATAGTCTTTATGAATTCTTATGATTAAGCGCTGCTCAGGGTTGAGTCATAAGTCACCACACATTTTAATGTGTTATATACTTATTTTAAAACACAATACTGGAACTATACAATGCCACCAAAAATGTAAAGTYTTTCTAAAACAATGCTAGCAAAACACAGAGGAAGCAAAATGAAAAGCCAGACCGAGTTTTTATTCCCAGCTTCCTTTTCATGGTTAATTGTTGCAGCCTGAAGTGAGTTGTCCTGGTGCAGCTGAAGCCAAAGAGCTGCAAAATCCAGCTGTGCCCTTTCTGAGATGGATTTCAGCTCCATTCTCTTCAAAAAGGAAAGCCACAATTAAATCCATGCATGATATTAGTCCAGTGTTATATATTTGAAGCTCAGTGATGGGAGCCCTAAAGTGATTTTTCTCTAAGTCAGTGTCACTGGCTCTCATGTTCTCTTATAACACTGATGCAAATACATTATTTGAAAACTGTCTCAGTTTGCTCCCRTTAGGCCCTCTGTTATGCAACACCAAAGTGTTGAAGCACTTGAATCCATCTCTTAATTCACAAGTATTACTACCAATCCATTAATACCTTTCTTTCCAAAGAATATTAAATAAAATAAAAAATCATAAGTATAAAAATTTTAAGCRCTCTATTTCATGAGGCAAGACACCTCAGCAGTCACCAAACACAAAGGTCCCCTGCAAAACCAACAGAATATACTGGCTCCTTGCACTATTTCCAGTTAAATTCAGGAAATATTTACAAGAACTGGTCATCTCTTACACTCAAAATTTTAGTGCCTTTTTTCCTAATCACACATTCAAATAAATTGACTTTATAAGAAAAGTAACCTTTCTTTCTTTTTCGATGCTTTCCATATTTTTTCTGCCATTTTCTTTTGAAAAGAGTGTACTTAGGAATTTGCAAAATTTTAGCCAACCTGTAGTCCTAAAACATTTCCAGTTGCAGGACAGCTTAGTAACTTTCTATGGTGACAGCTTTGCATGTTCTTGGAAGCAAAGAGACAAAGCAAATCAGCTTTACATTTAAAATACTCCTAACAAAAAATATACATAGAGAACATCAGAAATATCATAGTTTAAGACTACTACCTTGAAATGCACAAGATCAGAAGTCTTCTATCAACCAACCACCTTTCATTCGTACGATGAAATCAACCAAACACTGAAACAGTTGTATAGCCCTGTTGCCAGCATCATAAATAAGCAAGCTACCTCTATTTATTCACATTTGAAACCTTTGCTTCAATTAAATTTATCACAAACATGATGCAGCAATCACAAGGGATTCCCCAGGCAAATAGCCTTGAAGCAGAAGTTACCAATCCCCCTCTGAATGCAGTGTGAAAAGATCTTTGCCACCTGAGCGCTTTTCCATTAGAATGTGGTAGGTCTTCAAGGTTGGATAACCACAGAAATAGCTTGCAATATGCAAGTATACATCTTCCCCTTCTCTCTGAGCAATAGGATGTCACGCCTGGTCATTTGTATTCCATATTCTGGCGTGAACCGTATCTGGTAGGGGGACAGGGTCTTGAGTAAGCAAGAGCAGTTAAAATTCTTCTTCACTGGCTTGAAAACCATGCTGCGTAAGAAAGAAAAGGTGCAACCCAGAAAGTAATTAACTAAGTCTATCATCTTACAGATAACTTGTTGCATACTGAATATTGGGGGGAAAAAAAAATATTTCATCTAGTAAAGTACTCTTAATTTTCTTTGGGTGGCTGATGTGATCATCAAGGTCTTTAACAAAGCCCGTGGTAGCTACTCTGCTTAGTCTAACACTTAGTTTCAATGTTGGTAGGTAAACAAACATGATAAAAAGGAATGTTGGATGAGGCCCAGGCTGAACTTTTCTTCCCAAAGTCTTTTTTTTTTTTTTTTTTTTTAAGCCAGGCAACACAAAGGCAATCAAGAATAAAGCCACAGTTCACAACTGCTAAGAGTTCTGACAATCAGTGTTGAACTGGTCCAATCATGGACGTAGCACTGGACAAGGAATTGCCTGGCCTGATGATTACCTCTTTATTTCTGAAATGTTTGGTATTAGGCATTAATAGTACTTATTTTTTGCTTCTGGCTCTTCTTATTCTAAAAGAAAGATGATTTTGAAGGTGGTAAAGATAGAGGCAGACAAGGTTTGACAGTCAAATAAATTCACAAAAGTTTTACAGAATTTGCCAAGTGTTTTGGCTCATCAAGTACTGTGGTTCTCTGGCAAGCCAGTCCCTGATTTGGTCGAATCTGCAAGCACAGCATGGAGAAGTATATACAGGAAGACTGCAGAAGCATTGCATAGATCTCTGCTTGGTGGAGATAGGGATCTGCACATCATAGGAGAAAATTTATGCCTTTAATGTAGTCACTCAAACTAAACATCAAGTCCACATAATGTAATGAGATATTCAAAGATTGGGACTTCTAGGCCTTTAAGAACTTCCAGACAACACAAGAACCAACATACAGACAAAACAAACAACAGTGTATGTTTAGGATTTAAAATAAATCATAACTCTTAGGTATTATGTCAAGAACCCTATGAGGACAGATTACACTGGAAGTACATTCTTCAGTTGGGGTACTGGATCCCTTCTGCTTTCAGAGATAATATTCAAGAAGATGTAAACTGTAAGTCTGAATCAGGGTGATAACTCCTCTTGTCATAAGTAATACATATATCACTACTGGCCTTCTGCCCAGCTCTGGATTTCCCACTCTGTAGTGTGAAATATTTTGATTTTCCTCTAAGTCATCCAAAATCAAGACCTAGATTCAGCGTCTGCATTCTAGATTATTGAAAATCAATTTTGGTATCAAAGTTTATGGAGTATATAAAATATATGTTAAATGGATGACCAGCTCAATGGATTAAATAAGGGAATAGAGCTTTTCAACTCTCAGATTGAAAACCATCAAGTTTTCAACACTTAGATATACATATATGAAAAACTACCTTTGCTGCCCTTCAGCATAACTGTGCAGAAAGTTCTATCACATACTAAAAAGGCYGAAGTATCAGAGAAATTTAACTTTCTACATTCAATAATCCCATTGTATCAACAGCCTATGTTATACGGATAATTCTATGTTATAGGGATAATATAAAATTATATATATATATATAAAATATATAAAACACATGAGAATGTGTGTTAGTGACATGCAATCTATATTGATTGTACTATGTTGATACTGTACCATGTTGATAGCTATCCTTCATGTTCTTCAGCTATATAGTCTGCATTCTAGAATGTTTTTAAGAGACTGCAGAGTACACAAAGTTGAGGTATCCCACTATCACAAACCTTTTAAAATAATTTTATAAATATATATATACAGTTAATTAGCTTCTTTTACTTCTGGGAGAAAAATTGTGGCTTAATTTTAACTGAAATAAGCAACTACTCTTTGAAGAAAAAAAATACTGGATGATTCTTCTATGAATTTACCTGATTTGCAGATAAGCTTTCACATTTGAACAGTATATGCAGACATTTTTTTAAGAGATATCAAATGTTATTTACACATACAATATCAGACAGTAGTACATGACCCATGCAAAAGGAGTGGAAAGCTCTTATCAGGACTRTTAGCACAGGATCTGGATTAAAATAACACCAGCATAAAAGAAGAGAAATAGTAAACAGAGTATAATAATATTAACTACCTAGGAAAGATATACAGGAAAGTTCTCTCTCATATGCAAGTTAAAGTTGACATATTATTCCAGTTTTCACAGGGCTCTTTTTGTTTGTTTGTTTTAATATCTCTCTTTCTTTCTCTATGTGTGTGTGTTATGTAAAGGTATAATTTTCATAAATGCATGTATATGCTGTATATGTTTATATTGGCAATACTACATCGATTACACTTAACGCTTCAGGTCAGTGTTCTTTGCTYACTTGTGTCCCGACTGTAGTGCTACCATGACATCCTAAACAATCTTTCCTGTGGTATTTCATTATTCTATTAAACGCATATTTTTATATGAACATTTTTAAAATAATTCTATRGGGAAATGATTGCTCAAAAGTCGGGGATGAATTTCACAAGAGCCCTTTTCCAGCCATGCTAAAGAGAGAACTCTGGAGGGTCTCCATCCCTCTGCAGGTTGCTCTCTCTTCTCCACAAGAGATCACTGAGCCCTCGGGCTCAGACTACTCATGGAAAGCAGTGGATATTTTCTCTTCTCTAGGCAGTTTGCCTTCATTAGATGCTTTACMAGCATTTGTGCAACTACTCTTTATGTTATAGGCAGCAGACTACAACAAGTATATATTATTTGTATAGGTAGCTTAATGTTCTCAAAAGTTCTAAATTAATAATTTTAAGACTGAATTTTAAAATAATTTTCTAGGMTAGATCTAATCTTGTATATCACACGATCCTCATCTTTCTGAGCTTATGCAATTGATAACAGTATGTTAAATTTTTTTTTTTTTTTGTAAATCTAACAGATGACTTCAAAGAGCACTACCGACAAGACTTTTTTCCCTCTTATCTTGTCCACCGAGCTCTTATTCAAAACACCTTCCCTCCTATTGGTAAGTGCAAACCTCTTCCATGACTCTGCACCCCAAATACGCATCCTTTTGGGTCCACCAGCCAAATTTACACTTTGTTTTTGGTAGGAGATACGCTACCCAAGACATACGATCATCCATAGCCTTAGGAAAGATGTTCTCATCTATTTTTCATCAGAGCAGGCCCAGGTCAGATCTGACTGATCAGCAAAACCAAATAGTTACCCAAATCCAATCCTCATAATCCTGTCACTAACCAGAAATCCAGCCAAATACCTAGGATAATAATGATCTTCATGGCACAAGGCGCATGCTTGGCCAGTTTCCAGGGTCCTAGAGAATAAAAGTTACCCTGCTGTTATTTATTTATATAGTCCAAAATACATGCAGAAGTCATAGAAGCCACAGCTATTTTTATTCTCCTCGGTGGGAGGATTTTGCTTTCGTAGGAGGTAAATGACTTTCTGTTTACGCTGTCTGTAATAAAAGCCTGCAGTTGAGCAGCCTCGTCCTCACCAAGCTACGAGGCGACGGCTTTCACGCTCTCTGCTCTACGACCCCGCAGGCCTCCGTTGGCCTTTGGGCTACAATTTGATCGCCCTGCTCTTTAGTAAAACCTTATATTGCACATCTTCCATCTCCATGAGGGCCAGTATGGGAAAATGGTTTAATAATTAAGCCCACGGCCAGCCCTTGGAGATAATTAGTTTTTACAGACCATTATCTACGGGCCTAGAGACGAGCGGTTCTGATTCAGCAGATTACTTAGGCAAGCGTTGAAACATTTATTCTGAATAAACTTAAGTGGTCACTAACTTCAGGCACATGGAAAAGTGCCTGATTGGTTATGACTCGACCTAACCATCCATCTAAACACTTCATTGCATTAAGACCTTGGTTTGGACTAACTTTTATGCCAATCTCTACAGCCAGAACATCGCGCTGCTCTTCCACAGCAGCCACCGCACTGCACATGTTACCAACTTTATTTAACTGGAAAAGGGTGTTATTTTTCTGAGGGCCTCTTTCTATTTTATTGTATTGTTTTCAGAGGTGTTGGGAGTATGAAACCTTCCTGCCGTGCCACTGCACTCCCTGTGCCACTAGAGGTCAGCCTGCAACAGAACCCAGGCGAACGCTGGCTCTGCTGCACGCCGCCAGCACTGACATTATTGTCTTTCTCTATTTTACCTATTAAAAAAGATTTCTTCAAAGCCATAACTTAGATCTTACACGAAAATGGAGCAACAGGAAGATATAATGGTGCATTTCATTTATGAATGACCTATAATAAATTACTGTGAAGTATTCCAGGTGCCAAGCGCGAGAATGCTTTGTCTGCACAGGACCGATATTTCACATACTTTAATTTGGCTGACACATAAAACTCATTTGACATTTTGCAGGTATTTCTTTGAAAGGATATTTGGTTCTTGTTGAGCGTTAAGGTATGGAGCTGGGGTAACCTGGGCAGCAGAAGGTCGTTTCCGAGTAGGTTGTTGTCCAAGATCAGCTCCTCCAAAGAGCCGAACGTTTTCAGTCCTTCCAGTGACCTGCAAACGACAAAGGCAACAGGAAAAATGATACTCCACTAAATCAGGGAGGCCATTATGAGCTGAAATAAATATTTTAACCTTCCCTTTCAGGAGTGGGAATAGTTTTGGTTGGGGCCTGTCAGGCGAGTGAATGACAAGAATTAGTGGCGAGGGGAGTGCTGGCACTGCAACACATCCTTCACATGCTGGCAGGATGAAGGATGGGGGTCACTTAGTGAGTAGCCAGGATCCAAAACAAAAGGCTTCAGATATGGGGCCTGCAGGATGAATTTGTCAATGTCTTGTGCCTTCAGGCACCCAGCCTCGCCTGACCCTAACCTCCATTCCCAAGATAAATAACTCTGTCACAGTTCACCTTCATTCCCTGGACACAAATTTAAGTTGTCATCCATCATTTCTGCCAAGAAATATCATACCCCGCTAACAATAATAAATACAACTTCAAGTATCATTTCTTAGCAGTTACCTTACGTGCAATAGTAGGAAATGGAGAAGGGATCCCTTTTTTTTATTTTTATTTTTTTTTTATTTTTTATTAACCGCTTAATTTGCTTCTCTTTGTGTCCCTGCAAAGAAAATAAAATGTTCTCTACAAAATAAAATGCAGAATTACCCCAGACAGAAAAGGGATTTGCTTTCTTTTCAGAACTTGCTGTCCCACTGTCAAGCCACAGGTCAGACTGCAGAGAGCAGCTTTAAAAAAAGGAGCATTTCGCAACATGGAAGTACAGATGAAGGGCTGGAAATAAACAAGATTCAGGAGGTTTTCATTCCTCTGAGAGCATAAGCAAAGCACAGGAAAAAGGATAAAAAATAAAAAAAAATAAAAAAAAAAAAATAAAAAAAAAAAAAAGCACTTCACAGCCTTGTTAAAGCATCCATTCCAAACGTGATTCTTAATGCCTGCACATTCCAACAGGAAAAAAAAAAAAACACACATTAATCTAGTAAGACGCATGGTATACAGAGCATACGCACAGACACACATTCACAGCTCATTCACCTACCAGACACCTAGAGATATGCTGAGACTGCATGACTTGACAGCTGATCTACTATGCCTACCAGTGGGAAGATCATCACTGTTTCTCCTGGCTGTTTTATAAAATGTGATGAATAAGGGAGATGCAGTCTATACTATTTATTCACTTCCCAATGACATTTATACTGAGGGGATTTCCTCTCCTCCCCCAGTTTTTGGCAAAGAGCAAAACAGAGCCAATGTCTCTGCTGGAGGGTCCTAGAGGCTGTGCCATTACTGCAAGAAACTACAAGAAATTATTAGAAAAAYCACAGTTTTGAGATAGTTTAACATTTGCCTGGTCAACAAAAAATAAGAAATATTTGTTGCAGGTACAGCTTCCTGAGCCTTTGGAGCACAGTTTGAACTGGTGCCCTGCCCCATAACTAGCTCCTTTGGGAAAGCTCCGTCCAGCTCCATGCTGGCTGCATCCAGCAGCCAGTTATTTCAGAAAAGGTTTGACTCGGTTTCACCAAAGTCAAGATCAGAGGAGAGATGTGCAAACATGTCACACATTCCAATGCTCTCCTCCAAGTACCTTTAAAAGGGAAAACAATCCAGGGGAAGTAACAGGGAGTCTATCAAGCTGCTACGAGTTCTCAGTTSGGTTTATTTCACAAACCTAGCTTAGCAAATTCCCCTTAAATACTCTTTATTATATAAATAGTGGACTATTTCCAAACCTCACATTCTAATGCAAGACTTGGACTTGCCAGAGGAGTTCAGCGAAGGCCACCTCCTTGTCAACACCACGGAGCCTTATGGGATGTTAATAGGTCCTTTGTGACAAAACATCGCTGGGGCTCTGGTCAGTGTCAGCATCCAAATACACATTGTTCCTGAGTTATGTTATGCAAATATAATACCCTTATCATTTGAATCAGCAAATGGTTGGCAACTGGCAAGGAGAAGAAAGCGCACATCCAAAACTGCTGCAGGGGAGGCATAAAACAAAATGACAAGCCATGAAGTGGGACAAAAGGCCTCGAAACACTAGAGGGAGTTGCCTATTGAAACAGCCTTTCTTTGAAAAGCGCAGGCTGAATACAAGGGTACTAGTTTCATAGATAGGCAGAGAAAATTGTGCGCAAATCTCCTTACACCTGTCTGGTTTTGATAATTTTTGCCATGTAATGTTATTAGCTGCTCAGTTAAAAAGGAGCTGTGTTACACAGGGGGTTGCTTATTAATTGTTGTTTTCATGTCATCAGAGCAATGTGCACTTGGTGATTTAATCAGCTAAATTCAGAGCCCAGGGAGGTGGGAGGCGTTGCCACAGTACAGGGAGAGAGTATAGACATTAACATAAATTTACATCCATATGCTATTTTGCTATTTGCACAGTTCTTCCTTTTTTTTTCACCTTAAACAGGAGGGGGAAAAAAAAAATAAAACCTAGCACCAAAACAAAGCTGTTAAAGTTGGTAAAGTTAAAAAAATATATATGTGCATTTGCTACCATTCACTGATACTGGCTACCAAACACAAAACAAAATCTCAGACATCATAACACATATGGAAACATTTCCCAGCAGGGACTGAAATATTTCCTCTGCGAGTGGAAAGCCAACGCTCTGGGTCCAGTCCACACAATAGATTCAATGCTGCAAACTCGAGCAAGTCACATAACTTCTGCAGGCGGCAATTCCTCATCAGCAGGTGAGCGATAACGGTGGCTCTGCCTGAGGAGGGATGGCATTAGTGAATTAGCCCATGCAAAGCATTTTCAGAGCATGAGGTCAAAATCTATAGCATATAGGAATGATAGGATTTTTATTTTCACTGAGGATAAGGTAGTTATGCATTCAAACTATTTCCTTGTGAGCACATTACAACAGAGCAAAGCAGGAGCCTCTTATACACAACACAGCAAAGAAATCACCCGAAAACACACAAGCAGGTATAGAAAAGGGAATTCCACTCCCCTGGGAGCCAGGGCTACCCCGAGGCCAAAGCCAGGCTGTGTCCCCACAGCTCCAGCAGAAGGCCGGCCCCTCAAGCCCAGCGCGAGGGCCTCTCGGCCGCAGGCCGCCGGTGCCCGCTCGGGTGCCACGGGAGCTGCCCGTTCTCGCACCCACGGGCGCCGCTGCGGCTGCCCCATTGCGGGGCTCGCATGCCGCTCCCGCGGGAGAGCGAGCGCTGCCAAGAGCTCTCCATTGCAATTTCCAAAGCCACATCAAACCGACAAAACATCACAACGCATTCGGCTCTGCCTCATTCAAACCGAAAAAACTTTAAGTTTCCACTGTAATTAACCCTATCCTCGTTAAGATAATTATGATCAAGCTCCCTGTCACAGCTAATATCGCAGCATCATTGCCTATGGCTCACGCTTTGCCCTCATTAGCTTACAAAAACACTGCGCTAAACAGGAAAGTGACTCCCTCTGCRAAACGACTTAAGATGCTCTGTAACCAGACAGTAGATAATCCTCCCGAATACAAAGGTCTCAGAAATGTCATTTTATCCAAGTCCTTCAGCTAATCAGCATGATTTCTTCCAGCTTTCTTTTCCATAATTCATTCATGATTTGCAGCAAAGTTTTAATCATAAAGGGATGTCATTGCTGAGATTTCTTTCCRTACGTGCGTGCATGGCAATTGCCAACTACACTATTCCTTACAGTCCCTCTGGCACGACGGGGATTCGATTACAAGGAAACTACAGAGCAGCGCTTCATTTCGGGAATATTTGACAATGAAAACATGGGATTTTAGAAACAAAAAGCAGCAGAGATCTCTCCACTAATCGCTCAGACCTTGCTACTATGCCGCTGTCCTTGTCCACAAGAGCAATCTGCTCAGAAGTGTATTCCAAAGAGAAAATGTTCCTCACGTTTTACCCCACCCCTCCATTAATAAGACAGCTGACTCATTTCTAATGACTTTTTCCTCCTGTTTAACAGGAAAAGAGAGAGCAGTTAACAGTATGTAAATGAGAGAGTTTGGCTTTTGCCTTTAAATTGATTTGTACTCTGTTGACAAGAGATAGCCATTACCAGAAGTTAAAGACAGAGCTGTTGCAAACGGAAAGCTTTTTAAAATACCTCTTTCCGTGCCTTTTATGTCTTAACAAATTAAAGCAGCACAGAATTAACATGAGAACCCTACTACCAGATAATTTCAGTATTTAAAGAATATAATTGTAATTTCCATTTCCAACACCTGCCAGCCAGAGACCACAAAGTTTCTTTTTTTTTTTTTTTTTTTTTTTTTTTTAAACATTAATGAATTACAGTTCAAAAACCTGCTGGGCTTAAAACTCCATTTTCTAGTAAAGAAGGCAGAGGTTAAGTGACTAGCAAAAGGTGACCCTCAGCAATTTTCTAGGAGAGAAAAAATAAAGCACAGAGCACCTGACTTCCAGTCCTATGACTTAACCTCAACAAAACAAAAAGCAACAGATAAATGTTACACGCACATAAAAACATAACAGACATTCGCATAACTATAGGTTCTGCATGATTTCCTAGGAATGTGAAACGTCATTTCAGTTTTACTTGCTATGACTCCTGTTAAATGCTCAATTCTATTTAATTGGAAATACAGCTCACAAGCAGGGCAGGTGGGGAGGAAGTGTCCGGACACACGATCTCTCACTGATACAGCCACGCAAATAAGAGGAACTGACGCTCCGGGTTTTTCCTATATGCAAAGATAGTGGTGGCTGAAAAGCTGCAAGTAAAGCCTCATAAAATGACCTCTACACCAACGGAGTGAAGCAGCTTTGCTTTTCTGCAGCCATTCCTGGTGTGCACAGCCCTTTCTCTGCCCAAGAATCCATCCAAGGAGAAGGCAGACAGGACTAAGCCATGGGTAGCTCTGATGCAACTTTTAGACCATGGATGTCAAGAACACCCCCAAACTCCAGCATTACAKCACCTCAGCATGATTCCAAATAGGCAGCTTTCTAGCTTCAGGAAACAAATATAAACCCTGCTGAAAGAGCCATTTTTTTCCTTTGTGTGAACCAGCTC